GGGGGGGGGGGGGGGGGGTACTGTGGTGTGGTCTGCTCACAGAATTCTACACTAAGTGTAGAATTCTGTGGGTCTGCTACTTCTTTCCTATCAAACGTCTACTGTCCTGAGTGCTTGTGTGTGTGTGTGTGTGTGTGTGTGTGTGTGAGTGTGTGTTTGCTTGTTTGTTTGTGTGTGTTTGTTTGTTTGTTTGTTTGTTTGTGTGAGTGTGTGTGTGTGTTTGTGTTTGTTTGTTTGTTGGTTTGTGTGTGTGTGTGTGTGTATGTGTGTGTGTGTGTGTGTGTGTGTGTGTGTGTGTGTGTGTGTGTGTGTGTGTGTGTGTGTGTGTGTGTGTGTGAGTATATCTATGTGTGCGTTTGAATGCATTTGATTTCTGGAAGCAATTGGATATTGAAGTGATTTTGCCTGCATATGCTAATCTCAAAGTCTCAAAGTCTCAAAGTCTCAAAGTTACCACCACACCAGGGCCCCCTTAGTTCTCTTTTTGGGTACTTAATAAAAAGGGTTAGTTTTTTTATTCATAGAGATTTATAAGTTTTTCTTTCTTTATCTGAAAGTTAAATAGAGGCAGATAAAAACTACTGGACCCCCCCCCCCCCCCCCCCCCCAGATACTATGATATATTGTGCAGTTCGTGGTTTTAATCTGACTTGTGTATGGTGGCTCTAAATGGGCTGCAAAATTGCCTTTGGTCTGATGTTGGTCTTTTTTGTGTTTCCGTAAGTGTTTTACGGCACTTGAAGCACAATAAGGTCACATAAGTGCCGAAGATTAGCAGAGATAAAGACGATAGATGTTAGATAGGAAAGAAGAAGCCAACCACACAAGAGCACCCGCAAAATACCCGTGGTGTTGGTCAGACAAAATATTGTACATTATATTATGTATCTAAATAATTGTTTTTAAAGAGTTGATGTTCTGGAGTTATTGTAAGCGGGATAACCGTGGCAAAACGTAATAAATATTCTTATTTCAATCAGTTGTTTCCCTTACGCCACTAAGCAACACCGGTGGCCAGGCGAGAGATGATGTAGAATCATCATTGAGTCCCTAAATAATAATAATAATAATAATAATAATAATAATAATAATAATAATAATAATAATAATAATAATAATAATAATAAAAAATAAATTAATAAATAAATAAATAATAATTATAAATAATGATTAGCAATAATAATAAAAGTACCTCGAAATAATAATAATAATAATATAATAATAATAATAATAATAATAATAATAATAATAATAATAATAATAATAATAATAATAATAATAAACAAAATAATAATAATGATAATAATAATATCCCGATCTTTCCCCGTCACCTATCTGTTTAGGTTTTCCAAGTAAGTTGCTCGGGATCTACCCCTGCCTCAGTTGCCTTCAATTTTGCCAGTGAGAGGTAGATGTTCCAGGTATTAATTTATGTCTGTTCAAGTGTTCCAGAATTTGCATTTAAATAAATTCTGTCTCTTCCTGATTGTCTTCACAAGTGAGCAGCCAACGTAGGCTTCATCATGCACACCTCGTTTTATGAACAAACTCGTAATTATTGTTAATTATACTAAACATTGTTGAATTAACAAATGTAAAGATTCTTTAAAAATAGTAACCTCATATGGAAAACAATCCCCCTTCCTCTTATTACTACTTGTTAAATAGAGGTTTTAAAATTTTGCATTTTGTTCAATACAGATTTCATAATTTTGCCTTGGCTAAGGACAATAACAATTTTTATTTTTCGTTGTAGAGAATCCGAGCACAGACATTCAAGGCTAACCAAGGTAGTCGATGTTGCTTCAGATCTGGATCTTGAAGAAGAAGAAGAAGAAGAAGAAGAAGAAGAAGAAGAAGAAGAAGAAGAAGAAGAAGAAGAAGAAGAAGAAGAAGAAGAAGAAGAAGAAGAAGAAGAAGAAGAAGAAGAAGAAGAAGAAGATGAAGAAGAAGAAGAAGAAGAAGATGAAGAAG